CTGTCCTGGCTTCTGGGCCTTGTGCCCTGCACCAGCCACTCCATCCATTACCGCCCAATGACAGCGCCTGTTAGCGGCCCTCTCACCCCCGACCAGCCAATCGGAGCTGCCGTGGAATGCCGGGCCTTTGCCAAAAAGCTGCCCACCCTCTCTGGCTTTATCTGGTCGCGGCAAAAGTCACGGCCGGGCTCGTGTGTTTGGGCCTGTTTGGAGGGCAGAAGGTGCAGCGATGTGCACATGTGCAGCGGGAGTGTCTGCCTGCATTTGGGTGTGTTGTGCTTTTCTTTTCTTTTCTTTTTTTTTTTTCTGGCAAGGCTGCCGTTCACACAGATGTTTCTTTCTGGGTATCCGTAGAGAAGAGCCGAGAAGAGAAGCCAAGTGCATGTCCTTGAGGCACAGCGAGCGTGAGTGGCGCCTTGTTGTCCCTTAAATAAGATTATGGCATTTATTCGCCCCCTGCTCTTCCCCTGGAGAGTGCAAAACAATAAATAAAAGAAGTGGGTGTTTTTTTTTTTCTCTCTCTCTCTCTGTCTTGGCGAATAAAAAAAAAAAAATCCCAGTTTCGTTACATTGGCACATTCTTTTCAAAGCACTCCCCCATACAGAGTTGACATGGGCCACAGCACTGGATGAAAGGGAAATTTATCTCTGGGAGAATATTGCCGATAATATTCCCTTTTTGTGCAGATGAAAGCCCGTGTAAAGCTCGCTAAAGCAGGCTTAAGGTCTCAAATGACGATCGCAGCATGAGAACGTGTAGATAGCGATTCATTTAACTTGCTATGCAAATTGGCAGAGCTGGGTTGAGTAGCGGGTCAGCCGGAGGATTTGCTTCAATCTCCCTGCGTGTCGGCTGATCTGAGGGAGACGCGTCGCGCCGCCGGTCCGTTGAAGTGCACCGAGCAGAGCGGCGTTTTGCAGATTGCTGTGAGGCTATCGCTGCATCTCGTTTGCTCTTTATTGTGCAAATTCAAAAATAGTCGTAGACAACATCAAGATAAAGTTTCTCCAAGTTTCTAGAGAACTCTTGCGAGTTCTCGTGTAACCCTCGGTCATGTTGTTGTTACGCAATCGCCCAAATGTCACCATTCATCAGAGGCAGAAGCTGTAAAAACATAAATATTTGTGGGATCCGATAGTCATGTGTTGATTTGTCAGAAGCAATGATCCAAATCTAAGCTGGAAATCGTGATCTTAAAATTTGCTTCATGCTTCACATTTGTTTAAAAATTCGCCAAAAACAAAGGGCTTCCTTTAAACAGATTCTGAAAAAAACAAAAAATTCTGCGTTTGTCAGTGCAACCGAGAAGCTATGGCCGACCCAGCTGCCACCAACACTGTTGTGACAAAAATTCTGGGAGTTTTCAAAAGAACCGTGAAGCCATGAGTGACTCGGCTGCGACCATCATATGTGTGACGTAAATTCACTCGACTGAACTGCAGGCAGTGTCCACGCAGCAGATAAGTAAGGAGACAAGTACGGATATAAACTAGAAATGTAGGTTAAATATCTGTACAGTCTGTGTGAGACTTGTTGCACTGCTTGTGTGTTGTATCGCACAAAGCAGAGCAGCTAACTTTAATTTTGTGTGTCACAGTATCAGATGTGCAAATAAATATTCACAGAGTGTTAGCAAAGTTTTAAATTCTATCACTAATCACTATTTATCAGACCTTTCCGACGGTCCTTGAACTAATCATGTATGACCTCTGGCTTAATCTGTGAAATAAACCAAATCTAAGGTTAAAATCCTGATATTTCTGAGGTGCTCTTTAGTGTGCAAGTAAAAAATATTAATAAATAACATCGAGGTGAAATGCCTTCAAGTTCTTGTGTGGCCATCTGAGTCCCAAACATTATAATTTTAAAGGTTTGCTGTCTCTGCAAAATCGTCAGAATTGCCACCATTTATCAGAAACTGTGAAAACAGAGAACAAAAATCAGCAGGCTTTGAACTTTCTAACAGTCATTTAATTGCTTATCTTTGTTTAGTCATGAAAGTTGGACAAATCTAACACTGAAATCATGATATTTCAATAAAATCGCCTTATTCTACATGTTTAATTTAACGTTTTGCTAAAAGTAAATCAACCGTGAAGCCATTAGTGACTGATTCAGGGACTATTTGGTGAGTAAAAAATGCGACAGGAGCAAAAAGAGACTGTTTGGGAGTCACAGGATCCTCATCATCACAACATGAAGTCACGGCATCTTCATCCGTTGTTGTGATCGGGACAACAAACTCCGAACCAATTAGATAAACTTTCTCACAGCTCCTCAGCGCTCTCAAACGTCTCGTGCAAATGTTTCAGATGCACTACAAAGCCTTTGGGCTCTCAGCTATTTATTTATCACAGCCAGTGGAGGGATTTAATCCGTGAACCCTGCAGTCACAAACCCATTTCTCTGATTCGCTGGCTGCTACATGTCATTAGCCATGTGCTGGACATGTGTGCCGGGCTTCGCTCCAAAACACAAGCTTCTTTTTTTAGTCCTGGGAACATTGTTTGATAGCAAATTTAGTCAATAAAATAACTCAATTTCTATTAAAATGACTTCAATAGAATGGAAACATGGAAGCAGAACAAGAGGTTTTTTGTTTTTCCTTCATACAGTAACGCTGTCTTCTGCTGCTGTCTCTTCGTTTCGATGCACATTGATGCAATTCCAGTAATTTTGGCTGAGCTTCTCCGGCCCTAAAAAAAAAAAAAAAAGAGGCAGCGCTGACGCACAATGCTGTTGTGTTTTTGTGTGTCTCTGGCGGGCGGTCATGTGACAAACGCTGGAAAACAAACCCAGCTCTCAGTTTCTGCTGACGGCGGTTTCACTCGATTATTTTTCCTGTGAGGAATCTTTCGCCCGTCGGGGCGTTTGAAGCGACCGAACGCAGCTGACTCGGGGTTACGGATAAATGGAGCGCCGCCATGTTTTTTCTGTGCGTCATGTCAAATTGAATTTTTTTGAGAGAGTCAGCAGGCCGCTTGTTTGGGGCCCATTAAATCCGAGACATTAGTGTCACGTCTCATAATTTAAAGTGATGTGAGGACTAACGAGCGGCGGCGTTGCATGTCGGAGGTCAACCGGCTGCTGCTTAGCGTCTCTCCGGGGCTTCTGTACCTGCAGCTGATTGACCTCCACGATGACCCTGACAAAGAGCAGCTCCTGTCAGAAGACATAAACTCTGAGATGTCAGTGTGTTAGACTGAAGTAAACAGACTCACGCGGCTTCAATTTTCCTGGTGTTGCTAACATGATGTTTTCAGTTTTTTGTCAATATTTTATGATTTGTGGGAACTATATGCTACATAGTGCAAAATCCTTTTTTTTTACTTCTCTCTTCTTGCAGCCTTAGTTGTGCTGTTTTCATCAGACAACCATCACTGTGTTGTATCTCTGATGCGTACCAACTTCATTCATCTAGCTCCAACTCAACCGGACAGCCGAACCCGCAGAACCAATGATCCTCATTAAATGCTCTGCTGTTGGCTGCAGGAGTGAACACGACAGTCTCCATGCACTCCCAGCATCTGAGCAACTGAATTTCCGGTGTATTGCTTTTACTATTGATGGCAATGTCCATGTCACAACAATAGGAAAAATTCTTACGCAACTAGCATGGCTGCCGTTACTGTTAGCTTTGATGCTATGCTAACAGTTCAGAGCTCTGTGGGAACTGTGAAGCCGAAACAGTTCAATCTAAACTCAGCCGATGCAGCATTTTAAACCAGCTGAATTCCCAGTACGTCTGTTCCCATTTACATATTTTTCTATTTCTGCTATGAACGGGTATGAAATAGCGACTGAAATGCAACCAGCTAGAATACTGACTGCATAAATGCAACCTCATCTGACAAACTAAATGACAAGCGTGTTCTGACTTTGGCGACGTCCGTCCGTCCGTCTGTCCGTCCGTCCGTCCATCCGTCCGTCCATCCATCCATCCATCCATCCATCCATCCATCCATTATCTTCCGCTTATCCGGGGTCGGGTTGCGGGGGCAGTAGGTGGAGCACATCATTCCAAACTTCCCTCCCCCCGGCGACGCTTTCCAGCTCTTCCTGGGGGATCCCGAGGCATTCCCAGGCCAGCGGATATAATCCCTCCAGCGGGTTCTGGGTCTGCTCCGGGGTCTCCTCCCAGGTGGACATGTTTGGAAGACCTCCAGAGGAACCCTCTCCGGAGGCATCCTAATCAGATGTCCATACAACTTTCCGTGTAAAATGAATGTTGGGAGTCTTCTTCCTGAAGGGGGTGTGGACAGACTCTGAAAAACCCGTTTAGAACCGGACTAAAACCAGGAGTTCAACAGTCGTGGTGAAATGAACCGTCTTTGCAGTGTTCTGAGCTGGGAAAGAAATTGCACGACACATTCTGGGGACATGAGATTTCCATTTATTTGCTGGAAGGAGGCACAATGTGGGACATTTAAACCAGACAACAAGCCTCTTTCTCTCCCTCAGACTGCATTGTCAGTGTTACACAAGAAAGCTTTGGTCAAAGTATAATCATGAATGCGGCTAAATGATTTGTCTCAGTAGCATCTGTAGGCTTCTGGACAGTCACCACAAGGAACATTGGACTGTCGGGTCTGGTCTGTTCCCAGAAGCCGCCCCTCCTCTCCAGTGTCTCTGGGAGTTTGACGGAGTCATTAGGTAGCCGGGCTACGCTCTTTCACAAGGCCTTCACTGTCCAGGAGGCCACAGACCGGGGATAACTCAATTTGGCTTCTCCCACCGGCCAGCTCCGACTCTTTTTGCTCTTTTCCGTGCAAACGAAACAGAAACATGAAGTGAAAGAATCTGTTGTGGGCTGAAGACATGACGCTCGTAGGAAGCTGTCGAGTTAAAAGTGCTTTAACTTGAATCTGTGGCTCCATCACAGGAGACAAAAGAGTGACACGTTTTACTTTCACTTTCAGTACGATTACAGGAGAGATAAGAGTCAGTTGTGTTGCATGTTGTCGTTGGTTGTAACCTGTGAACTCTTGTGTTATTTCAGGCGGAGTTCTCGGAGATCAACCTGGCCTCCTACGTCAACTCTGGCTGTATGGTGGACATGCAGGTGAACAAAGGTGGCACCAAAGTGGTCAGGTGAGAAGCTCATCCCGCACCGAGGCATTTCCTCTCCGCATTACCTTCACACAAATCCAGCCCTTAATGTGATTATCTCGGTGGAAAACCTAAAAGCAGCTCGCTCGTTTATTTTTAACCTCTCAGGGCAAGTTTGTTAAACGAAGAATGCTTCAGAATTTTTCACCTTGTCACCTTTCCCACCGGTGTCGAGCCCAGTTTTAACTTCCACGGTGTCACCATGATGTTATTGTGCTCTGCAAAATGCTTCTGGTAGAACCAGGAGTTGTGGTTAAGTAACCTCTGATCAGCCCTGTGGTAAAGCTGATAAGTCCTGTCAGGTCAATGGCAGCCGCTCGTAGTAAACAGGAAGTTAGTTAAGCTGCTCTTTAGTAGTGCTTCTCATTAATCTGCACTGTAAAAAAATACACTGGTTATGAAAAGAAGGGGGAAAAAAGGCAGATGTAGTGATTTAAAAAAAAAAAAAAAAAGATGGAAAATACTGAAATTTTCCTTAATTAATTTTTTTTTTTTTAAAGCTACAACTTTACGTTGGATCAAGTGTATTATTATTATTATTATTATTATTATTATTATTATTATTGTTATTATCATGGCTTTGTTAAAATACATTTTTAAGCACTAAGCTATTTAGGTTTAGATTTGGTTATGTTTCAAAATCTCTTTTCTTCTCATAATAATAATAATAACAATAATAATGATAATATTAACAAATAAATCCTGTTTCTGTTAATTGGCACTAATTGTATTATTTAAGAAATGCAAAATAATTCAAACTTAATTTAATATTTACATCTGTAGAATTTGAAGGAAAAAATTTATGAAATTATGAGGTTTTTGTGAAAAAGTTGTGTTTTTTTTTGGAAAAATGTTATGTGTTTTTGTAAACTTAGAGGTTTTTAATGTTATTTTACACAGGAAATGCAAATATATAGAATTTAAAATATTTTAGCTATTCAAGTATTTGGAAAACCTCTAAAATCAAAAGATAAAATAATGTGAAATTAAAGCGTTGAACAAGTTCTTCAAGTCTTTTTTATCTCGAGTTGGATACAGAGCGACTGTGTCAGTAAATACACCAAAATCTAAAAACATGTGAAGCTGTTTATTTAAATGGACTCTTGTGTTCAGTGAATCACAGATTATCAGCTGATCTTCATGTTCCTGCGTCAACACTCTGAATGTCACTGGTTGCTTTTCATCCTCAGAACCAAAGTACAACAATCAGCCCAACAAGTTTCTGGGTGTTTTGACTGCAAAAAACTAATTCCAGAAAAAAATATGGTGAAAATCTGGCAGCCAGGACGCCAGAAACAACAAAACAAAACTGTGAAATACTGTCACCTTTAAAAAACAGTTAAAAACAGTGGAAATAATATCAGATATCTGTCATCTTGATGGGGACGTTTTGACCTGTTTTCTTTACAGTCGACACATTTTGTGTGATTTTACTCGTTGTTATTGGGCAGAAATATAAAATAACAACAATTTTAAAAATGATAAATGTTTTTTTTACATTTACATATTCAACATTTACATATTTGTTCTTTAACCTCTGAAGACCCGAGCTCTTGTTTGATTTGCATTTTTTATTAAAAAACAAAAAGAAGAAGAGAAAAAAGAAAAAAAGAATAAAAAATATAAAATATAAAGAAAATAAAAATAAATTTTAAAATATATAAAATAAATAAATACATAAATAAATAACAGTAATAAAATAATACAAATAAAATAATAAAAAATAAAAACGAATTAAAAAATTAGCTACTGTGGTACTATAACCCAAAATGTAACGTCCCCATATGTGGACGCCGGGTCTTAAGAGTTTAAAATGACTGCAAATATCAGCAAAATAATGATTTTTTTTCTGATTTAAATACAGCAAAAAAAAATGGTATAATTATACAGTCAAACATTTTCGAGACGGACAACAAATCTGGGGAACAAGAGCTGGGATCAAACCCAGTTCTCGTTACTTACAGCATCTGCACACATGATTTTGGGGTCAACATCCCAGCAATGTGATTTTCCTTCAGTTACATGTGCGTAATATTTAATTACCCAGAAATCTAATATGTTTAACCACATATTTTAGGAGTAGAGTCAAGCTGTATTGCTGTGCTACCTAAATATTTATACATGTGCACGTCATTCATCTCGTCTTTCTGGCCTTTTTTCTAATCAGCTAATCTGTGTTTTTGGACTCGACTTCGCACAATTACGGGAAATCAAGTGAGAATAATGGTCGGCGAGCGGCGCTAAAGCAGCCGACGCTACAATGCGACCTGTTGTCAGCCCACACTGAGGTGATTGTGTTCATGTTGCCGTAATAAGAGGCTAAATTGGATGCAGATGCTGTTTGGCTTATCGTTTATTACTTGACCACTAATAATATGATTGGTTGTTTCAAGCTGGCAGCCTGATTGGTTGATAACACCAAAGCTGCCGCTGACACTGGACGGTTCTTCAGATGAAAGAACAAACAAAACACTTTATTTTTATAGATGGAAACTCATGCTTTCTTTGAGACTGACGTGTTTGATGAACCACCAGAGGACGGACGCTGATTGAACTCATGCATTCAGGCACGTTGACGGTTTATATTTAAAGCTGGTTCCGGTTTTTCCACGTGTCCGCTGCAGTCCGACCTCTGACTGGCGTCGCCTCCGCCGGCTTTCTCACACGTCTGTGGTTTCACTGCTGCTTGTGTCGTCAGCTTTTCTTTCACTCTTGTCGTGTTTAGCCGTGCATTAGACAAACATTAATCTGCTGTACGGTTAAATACGTCCAATGCGATGGAGACGTGATACCTTAAGAAGAAGTTAACCCTCTGAGCTCCGAGCAGGTTCTGGCCATGTTTTGCTTTTTTTTTTACTGCGATTTAAAGTCCTGAACCTTTTCTGGAAGCAGCACAAGCATGACTAGATGGAGAGAGAACTCAGGAAGGTCACAACAAAAGTTATAAAGCCATAAATCATTAAAAAAAGATAAAAATGAATATTGATGTTGTTGGATTATTTATTTAGCAAAAATTTAAAAACCAGCATGTACAACATTTTTCCAAGTACCCACATGTGTTACCAATACTGGAAAAAATCTAATAAAACAGGCCTGTCGTGTTTTTCCACTTAAATATTTCATTTGTTTCTGTCCTGTGTAAACACATCCTGCAGCTCAGTCAAAAAGTTCCAGAATTTTTCTCTTGACTGTTGGTCATTCGTCGCTTTACAGTTGAGCAGGAAGACACACCAGTTTTATTTTTATGGAACAAAAATGTTTAGACTTGTCTCCCGTCTGCTTTGTGTAAACACAACCTGCAGTTCAACCCAGTTCAGCTGAAAAGTTCCAGAATTTTTGCCATGTGACCGTTGGTTACAGCCGAGTCCAAAATGGCTTCATGGTTGCGCCGAGGAGCGCAGAATTTTTTGTTTTTTACACAATCTGGTTACAGCAAACGGTATATTTTTTGTAGAATAAAAATGATTTTGGTAACAGCTGGATCTGTCACGGCTTCACATGTTTTAGATTACTGCACTTTGAAACCTAGAATATCGTGATTTCAATAAAAAATAAACATTTTAAAGTTAGATTTGGTTGTTTTTCAGAAAGTCACACATGAATAAGCTGGAAATCTGATGGTTCGTCCTGTTTTTACAGTCTGTTGCGAAGATAAACGGTTTAATTTTGGCACAGACCGGGCATTGTTTTACTCCAAATTGAGGAGCCGAGCCTGAAGAACAACAACAAAAGTACATGTGACTCTCTAAATGCTTCGCTTTCTGCAACGTGGCACGCGCTGCACATCCTCCAGCGCAGCAGAGCGCCGAGCTGCAGCAGTTATGTCATGTTGTTCCCCTGCTGCACTGCTGTAGTCAGCCCTTTGGCTGCTCCGCTCGCCGCTGCCAAAACCTCCGGCTCAAAGTGGGAACGCCGGCCCGGCCGACCTCGGCAGCCGGAGGACGAGGAGCCACAGAGCTCCGTCTTCACAGCGCCTCCCGCGGCTAATAAAGCCAGGCGATTAATTAGTGCTGATTAATGTGGAGTTATGGGGCTCGTTTTACTGCCGCTCTGGCTGGAAACGTGTTTAGGCTGCAGCCACATGCCCCCGAAATGTGAATGAAATGTTGTGTTACATGCAGGCTTTTCAAACCGCTGGGAGCTGTTTGTGTGCATGAACTTTGAGCATTGCAGGAATTCAATAAAGAAAAGCCTTTACAGCTCTTCCAGGGTTTAATTAACACGACTGCACATGTTGCTGCTGCACCCGCGAGGACGCCGACACCAACGCTAGAGCTGAATCTGAGTGAAACAAACTTCATTAAAGACGCTTCGGCTGGATTTTTATACGACGTTCCATTAATAGACTTGACGGATGATCGTGTGAACCCAGTGATTAACCGCTTCACTGCCAAAAGCTGCATTTTTATACGACTTCCACATGTGCGCCTCTAAAATTATTACACAGATTCTACTAACTTTTGCATGGACTCTGTTGATATTGTGCAGATTTTATTGATTATTGCACCAATTCTATGGAAAACTGCACTGATCCTGTTGATAAAAGCACAGATTCTATTGATTGTTGCTCAGCATCCATTGATTATTACAGTTTTTATTGATGTTGCTCAGACTCTGTCGGTCATTGCACAGATTCTATGACTGTAGCACAGATTTTACAGATGTTACATAGATTATTGCACAGATTCTATTGATTATTACACCAATTCTGTTAATAATTGCATAGATTATATTGATATTGCACAACCTCTGTTGGTTATTGCACAGATTTTACTGATTAATCCGAAAATTCTCTTGATTATTCTGCACATTCAGTTGGTTATTAGATTGATTCTACTAATATTGCAAAGATTCTACAGATATTACACGGATTCTGTTGTTTATTGCACATATTCTACTGATTTTTGCACAGATTCCATTGATGTTGAACAGATTTTACTGATTAATGTGCATATTCTATTGATTTCGCACAGTTTCTGTTC